TGATCACCATAGTCAAGTTGGCTTTCCCTAAAGTGCAGGGTTGCTTCAACATAGATAAATCAATAAACACACTTTTTGAAGATGATATATAGTATTATATATAAATGATCCCAAAAGGTTCCACCAAAAAAACTAGAAATAAAACAGTTTCAGCAAAATGGCAGGGTACAAGATCAACTTATAAAACTTATAGCCTTTCTATACACCAACAAGAAGCATATCGAGAAAGAGATCACAGACACATTCCCATTTGCAAGAGTATCAAAGACAGTAAAATATCTTGAAGTAAGCCTAACTAAGGAGGCAAAAGACCTCTACAATGAAAACTTTTTTAAAGAAAAAAATTGAGAAAATAGACATTTAAAGTAGAAATCATATTGTAAAAATGACCATCCTACCTAAAGCAATTTACAGATTCAATGCAATATCAATCAAAATGTCTACAACATTCTTCATAGAAATAGAAAAAAAACCCTAATTTGTATGGAACCATAAAAGACCCTACACAGCAAAGCAATCTTGAACAAAATGAAAATACTGGAGGAGTTGCCATTCCAGACCACAAAATCCATTGATAGAGCTATAGTACTGGCACAAAGCAGACATGTAGACCAATGGAGTGAAAAGAAGACCTAAGCTTGAGTACAACCATCTGATATTTGACAGAGAGGCAAAAACCATGCATGAGAGAAAATCAGCATCTTCGATAAACGATGCTGGAAAAACCAGATGTCCAGATGCATGGAGAGTGATGTTATTGTATTTTAATTAAAATGTATTTTTTAAATGTAGAAACAAGAGAGAGGGAAGGAGGGAGGGAGGGATGGGGAAGGGAGGGACACACACACACACACACACACACACACACACACACACACACACACACACACACACACAGAGTATATATTAAAGACTTGGGTTCCCCAAAGGAGGAACATTCACATCGCAAGGACATTAGTTCAACTATGTTCATAACAACATTATTCATAATAGCCAGATTTTGTAAACAACCTAGATGCTCCTCAACTGAAGAATGGATAAAGAAAATGTGGTATATTTAAACAATGGAGTGGTAAGAAACAATGACATCCTAAAATTTGCAGGCAAATGGATAGAACTAGGGAAAAAAAACCTTCCTAAGTGAGGTAACCCAGACCCAGAAAGACAAATATAGTATGTACTCACTCATAAGTGGATACCAGACATAAAGCAAAAGATCCCAGCCTACAATCCACAACCCCAGAGAAGCTAGAACCCTCTTCCAAAACAGGTGGAAGCAGATGCAGAAATTCACAATTAACCATTGGGCCAACTTCCTGGAGTACAATCAAAGTGAGGGAGGACAAAAATCAAGACCATGATAGGGAAACCCACAGAATCAGCTGACCGGAGATAGTGAGAGATCACAGACTCTGGTCTGACATAAGACAGAACTAGACTCCTTTAATATAGGTGACAATGGTGCAGCTGGGACAATATATGATGCCACTGGCAGTGGGTCCAAGATCTAACTCTAATGCACAAACTGATTTAGTGGAGCCCGTTCTATATGGAGAGATACCTTGCTCAGCCTAGACACAGGGGTGTGGAAGGGTGGGAAAGTGTCTTGGTCCTGCCTCAACGAGATGATGGGAAAAGATATTCAACCCCACATCTGACAAAGGGCTGATTTCCAAAATATACAAAGAACTCAAGAAGCTACTCACCAAAACACCAAATACTCCAATTAAAAAGTGGGGTACTGAACTAAGTAGAGAATTTTCAATAGCTGAATCTAAAATGACTGAAAGAAATTTTAAAAAGTGCTCAGCATCCTTAGCCATCAGGGAAATGCAAATCAAAACAACTCTAATATAACATCTTGTTCCTGTCAGAATGGCTAAAATCAAAAACACCAACGACAATTTATGCTGGAGAGGATGTGGAGAAAGGAGAACACTCCTATACTGCTGGTGAGAGTGCAAACTCGTACACCCACTTTGGAAATCAGTATGGAGATTCCTCAGGAAAATGGGAATCAGTCTACCACAAGATGTAGCAATTCCACTCTTAGGCATATATCCAAAAGATACAAATTCATACAACAAGGACATCTGTTCAACCATGTTCATAGCAGCATTATTTGTAATAGCCAGAACCTGGAAGCAACCTAGATGCCCCTCAACTGAAGAATGGATAAAGAAAATGTGGTACATTTACACAATGGAGTACTACTCAGCAGAAAAAAAAAAACAATGGAATCTTGAAATCCACAGGCAAATGGATGTCACTAGAAGAAACCATCCTGAGTAAGGTAACCCAGTCACAAAAAGACAAACATGTATGTATTCACTCATATATGGATTTTACACAAAGAGAAAAGGATTACCAGCCTACAATCCACACCTCCAGAGAAGCTAGGAAACAAGGAGGACCCTAAGAGAGACATATGTGGTCCCCTGGAGAAGGGGAAAGGGACAAGATCTCCTGAACTAATTGGGAGCATGGGTAGGGGGAAAGGAAGAGGGAGTTAGAAGAAAGAGAAGGGGAAAAGAGGAGGGGAGAGGAAGATAGGAGAGAGCAGGAAGAACGAGTCAGGGGAAGAATAGAGGAGAGCAAGAAAAGAGATACCATAATAGAGGAAACCATTATAGGTTTGAAGAGAAATCTGACACTAGGGAAATGTCCAGCCATCTACAAGGTTGACCCCACTTAACAATCTAAGCAATGGTGGAGAGACTACCTTAAATCCCATTCTCTGATAATGAGATTGCTACCTTAAATGCCATCCTAGAGCCTTCATCCAGTAGCTGATGGAAGCAGAAGCAGACACCCACAGCTAAACACTGAACTGAACTCTGGAATCCATTTGCAGAGAGAGAGGAGTGATGAACAAAGGGGTGAAGACCAGGCTGGAGAAACCCACAGAAACAGCTGACCTGAACAAGGGGTTGCTCATGGACCCCAGACTGATAGCTGGGTGTCAGTTTGGAGGTCTGGTTAATCGATGGGGCCTCTGGTAGTGGATCAGTATTTATCCTTAGTACACAAATGGACTTTGGGAGTCCATTCCACACAGAAGGATATTCTCTCAGCCTAGACACATGAGGGAGGGTCTAGGCCCTGCTCCAAATGATATGACAGACTTTGAAGATCTCCCATGGAAGGTCTCACCCTCCCTGGGGAGCAGAAAGGGGATGGGATAGGGGGGGGTCAGTGCAGGCCAGGGGAGGAGGAGAGGGAGGAGGAACTGGGATTGACATGTAAAACAAGCTTGATTCTAATTTAAATTAAAGGCGGAAAAAAGTAAAGTTCAAAAGGTATAAATAAAAAAAAACAAGGTTTTCAGGCTTTAACAGATATAAACACAGGCTTCACAGTTAAATTTTACTTTTAAATCAATGCTATTATTTAAATAACTAAATTTTTTATTGTTTTGAAGCAGGGTTTCTGTATGTAGTCCTGGCTGTCCTGGAGCTCACCATGTAGAGCAGGCTATCCTGGAACCTTGGCTTATAGGTGATGACTACCTAGTGGGGGTTACTTTGAAAGGATGAAGAAGGGTATCCCATGGGGGTGATGTGTTTAGAGTAATAGGTACTGCTGGGCTACAGCCAAGTCATCGGGAAATGTTTTTGGTGAGGAGTTCTCTCTGCCTGGGGAGGAAGGGAACTCTCTACATACAATTTAAAAAGGAGTGTCCCCTAGCTGGGCATGATGCAATGGCCCTATCCTGTGACTGGGACACGGTTCCTTGGTAGATAAGCTTAGCATCCTAAGTTTGTCACCCAGGGTTCAGACTTGTAGGCAGCTGAACCATTCACAAGCTGAAATTTGAGTGAGGACAGAAGAGACCATTCATTAGTGAAGAGCCTGCTCTGCTCTTGCAGAGGACCTAAGGTTCAAGGCTGTCTGGAACTCCAGCTCCTGGGGACCTGAGACCTGGGCTCGGCAGGCTCCTGCGTGCGCGAGCACGCACACACACACACACACACACACACACACACACACACACACACACACACACAATTTAGAAAGTTAAAAAAGAAACTGAATTGAAACAACTTCACTTGTCAAGGTTGACCGTTAACCGTTTATTAGGAGGGAAAAGAAGTGAAGCCCAGAGATTGATTCCATCTATATTTTATTATTTTTAATTAATTTATTATTGTTTAGTGTGCATTGGTATTTTGCCTGCATGTACATCTGAGTGAGGGAGTCCGATAACCTGGAACTGGAGTTTCAGACAGTTCTGAGCTGCCATGTGGGTGCTGGGAATTGAACCCCAGGTCCTCTGGGAGAGCAGCCAGCGCTCTTAACCACTGAGCCATCTCTCCAGCCCCTCATCCTTATTTAAAAACCACCTCCAGCAGTTACAAGGTATTTGAATTGCATGCAAAGTCTGGATGGCCCACTTACAGGTACAAGAATATTATTATTTTGGACTTCCGTTTTGTGCCAGTTCCGTTATGAAGGTCAAAAGCAGTGCACACTGAGCGGATCAGGGGCAGAGAGCTACCAGGAAGCTCCACAGGCATCGGGTTCTCGAACTGCTTTTCATCTAGCTGAGGCAGTCTCCGTGTGAACTCACTGCATAACTAAGGGACTATTTTTTGGTGGATTGACATTGGTATCTGCCTTATCAAACCAGACAGTACATGGAAGTTAGTGACATTGTGCCCCTGTTTTAGGAACAGAACAATTCTAATTTCTCAGGAATTGTAGTTCTCAGTGCATTCCACACAGAAGGGTACGTAAGAGTCCTAGTCAGGGTTTCTTTTTTTTTTCTTTCTTTTTTTTGTTTTTTGTTTTTTGTTTTTCCAGACAGGGTTTCTCTGTGGCTTTGGAGGCTGTCCTGGCCCTAGCTCTGTAGACCAGTCTGGCCTTGAACTCACAGAGATCTGCCTGCCTCTGCCTCCCAAGTGCTGGGATTAAAGGCGTGCGCCACCAACACCCGGCCTCCTAGTCAGGGTTTCTATTGTTGCAATGAAACACCATGACCAAAAAGCAAGTTGGGGAGGAGAGGGTTTATTTAGTTTACACTTCCACATCATTGCTCATCATTGGAGGAACCCAAACAGGGCAGGATCCTGGAGGCAGGAGCTAATGCAGAGGCCATGGAGGATGCTGCTTACTGGCTTTTTCCCATGGCCTTTCTCAGATTGCTTTCTTACCATTCACTAGAAAAAATGCCTTACATGCTTACCTACAGCCAGAAAATCTATGAAAGCATTTTCTTAATTGAAGTTCTCTCCTCTTAAATAACTCAAGCTTGTGTTAAGTTGACATAAAACTAGCCAGCACAGTAGACTATTATTCTTTTTTAGACTATTATTCTTTTTCTAAGGAACTGAGACTTGTCCAAATTCATACAAATCTAGTTTTTTTAAATAGTTATTTTTATTCTTGACCCCAGATAGCTTTTCAGTTCCCTTGCCCTGCAAATCTCTACTGTGTTTACATCTGTGTGTACCCAATTCTATGATGTCTATTCTTAGTTGTCAGCTTGTCACATCTAGGAAGAGGGAACCCCAAATGAAGAATTGCCTCCATCATATTAGCCTACAGTCACATCTGTGAGGAATTGTTTGGAGCGATGACTTAGGTCAGCCCACTGTGGTCTGTGCACACTTGGGCATGTGGTCCTGTGTCATGGGAGAAAGTTGGCTGAGTTGGCAAGTCGGCAAGGATTGAACAGCATCCCTCCATGTCCCTCTTAGCTTCCCAATATAATGGGCTGTAGTGTAAGCTGAAATAAACCCTTACTCCTCCAAGTCACTCTTGGTCAAGATGAGTATCACAGCAACAGAGAACATACTAAAAGAGGTTTGGTTCCTAGTTATCCATTTCCTATGTTTTCCTATAGCAGCAACAGTCCATGTTAATGATTGCCCAGTGTTCAGGAAGAACTAGCAAACAAAGTTTCTACAGAGAAACTACCAACATAATTCTACCTCAGTGTTGATCTGAGTTGTTTTTCATATATCTCTCTAGTTGTGTATATACATATATACACACACATATATGTAAAAATAGCAATATGCTTGTTTCCACATGTGATTATGATCATGATAATTTATTTTACTAATTACAATTGTTATTTGTCATTTGAAATCTGTGGTTGCAGTTGGGAACTATGTGAGAAACAAGGCCACACGGCACTGATGAAAACTGAAAAACTCTGTCCCTCCCTTCCCCTTCAGGTCGCTCTGCACCACATAGGCAAAGTTCATGTGTACTTTGTATGGCTGGGACACAATGGCTGAGCTGACTTTCCAAGAATTGTGCCTTCTCATTTGACATTTCACCTGTTGATTTTGAGAGTAAGAAGACCCGTGAAGGAACCCGAGACCGGAACTGATCTGAAACATTCAGCCTGAAATGCTTCCCCTGTCCCATCACCTCTGCCTCATGGTACATCCAGACCAGAGTCACCTCTGCAACATTAGTTGGACTCTGTATCAGTTAAAGTGCTTTGGTATATAGCGTCTAGTCTCACTTCGAAAGTATGATTTCTAGTAGGATGGTCTCTACTTTAGATTTCAGAAGAATTCAAGAATTATTTGATTTCATATAGAGATGCTTTAGTAGTTCTAAATGCTAAGTTCTGACTATAAGTGATGGTGGGGTTGATTAAAATAATATCTTGATTTAAAAGCACAAGGCTGTGCCTCCTATTATCACAGTGAGCCTGAAATACCTGTGCGTATGTGTGCACATGTGTGCATGTATGTGCTGTGTGATATAGAAAAAGTACTGTTTACAAGAAAAAAGTAGAATCTTAATTCTTCTTCTTCTGTAAAGACAAACTGCCATTAAGCATCTTACTTGTTCTAGTCCTACCATACCATAACAAAAGAAGAAACAGTGACAAAAAGAATCAAACAATAATTGTAGTGTGAACTTCTCTATTGGTGAGTGTATGATTCCTCACCACAATTAAGAGAGACAAAGAGCCACTTGTCTGGGGCCCAGCACTCAGTAAGCTGACATAGGAAGATCACTTGACCCCAAGAGTTTGAGATCAGCCTGGGCAAACACAGACCCTGTTAAAAACAAACAAACAAACAAACAAAAACAGACTAAGATAGTTGATAGTTCAGATACCAAAACTATGTGAACTAATTCAATAACTATTTCACTTGTGATATATGTACAGTTAGTATTGTATCTATCCTCAGCAATACTACTAATAGAAAGGGAAGCCGGGCGGTGGTGACGCTCGACTTTAACCCCAGCACTCGGGAGGCAGAGGCAGGCAGATCTCTGTGAGTTCGAGGCTGGGCTGAACTGGACAGCCTTCAAAACAATACAGAGAAACCCTGTCTAGTAAAACCAAAGGGGGGGGGAGAAAGGGAATCATGTTTATATCCACATCTACTGTACTCAGAAACAATACCACATATTTGAATACTTTAAAGGAACAATAGCATTCATTAGACACACTTGCAACAACGGAATCTGAGAGAATATCTTTAAAAGCTGTGACGACTGGCAGAACCAACCAAATGGAGACATGAAGAAGCTTTGGGACCATCACCTTGAGAACTCAACAAGGGACCCAATCACGGTTGCCTGGGTGTTTCCAGAGGTCGGGAAAATTTAAATAGTTAAATGTGCACACTCCGAGTCTTAAAGTGCTTCTGTTAAAAAATGAAACCAGGTCATGGGGCCACTGAGAATGGGTTTGGACCCAGAGAAACTATTTCAGAACACACACACTGGAACAAATTGCTGTCCAGTTTTCCCTGGGTAGTTTCTCTTCCTGTCTTCAGAGTGCTATGAAATTCCCGACCCCCTCTTGACCTCCATGCCCCATGCCTTCTGCCCAAGGGTTTGGCAGAAAACATGTCCGTTTAAGGGTGCGTAGGAGTCAATTAAACTAGGTCATTTTCTAATATTCAAGAGGAACAGATCAAACCTTGAGAACCATTTGGGCCCTGGCTGGATGGAGGTTCATGTACTTCACTTGGTGCTGTTCTTAGCTTTCCCTCTGTCAAAACTCAAGCCACATAAAATACCACTTCTCAGTTTGAACAGGACCTGGGGCATCAGCCCTTTCAGGAATCTGGCTCACTCTGTGCCCTAGAATAATAAGGTCAGCATCTTTTCTCTTTCTTTCTGTAAAGGGTAGTAATGTTTCGGGACTTTCAGAACTGCTGTGATTCACTGCTGTTGTGGTCTGCAGGATGAGTCTTAGGCACAGGAACGTGATGCCCCTTACAGCAACGGGAGACAGGCTGCTTTATGCCGCTTACAGCAACAGGGGACTTGCTGGCTTCGGCCTTTGAGCCAGTTGCCTTCCCTCCTTCTAACTGCACATGGTGCTTTGCTTTGGAGAAAACCATCATGCTTCCATGGCTCTAACCAGATGATTGCCCACTGAGTGTTTAATGCTCTGATAGCAACCCCATAGCCTCAGCAGAAGTGGCTGTGAGCTGGGGAATCCGTGTTTATGCTCCCCAGTAACAGACATGATCAGAAATTGACAGACACCTAGAAGGGCTTGATGTGGTTTCACTTAGAGACCTGCAGCTACCCATGTTTTTTTTTTTCTTGGATTTGTACTGTAGGGCTGAAAACAGTCACCATTCTGTGGCGGCAGGTGCATATTCAGAGAAAAATAACAAATGATGGAAAACATGGTACCTTAGAAGCCTTAAGAGTCAGTGTGCCTACTCTAGATACCAAATGTAAGTCATTACAGATGTGTTCATCCCTCAAGCTGCAGAGAACTTGCTTATATGTAAAGAAAAAAAAAAGGAAAGCAATCTAATATATAACCAGCCAAGAATCACACAATTTCATGCAGATAGAGGACATTGCTATCAACATACTCAGATGTTTCATATTACCAATGGGAAAACTAAGGCCCAATGAAGAGCGCCAACTTGCTGAGTTTGGGGAGGAATCATGAGATCTCAGCCATTTCTGTTTCCAATCTGTAGCTATCTAAGTAACCCTGTTTGAAGGGACTTACTGACAGCGCAAGTGCCTGAGGCGCGGGCTCATGCCCCAAGAACCCGGACATCCTTTACAGACAAGCTTTCTGTTGGGCTGGAACCGCCCGAGGAAACACATGGAGTGTAACGAAGAAGCAGGAGACAGCCTATCGCTGACTCGCTGCTGCTGCTGCTGCTGCTGCAAACCACACAGGATAAAGCATCAGGTGGCCATCTTCCCACGAATATAAGTGCTGATCCCTCATGTTGTATGATAACATGGCAAGAACAGACGGGGATGTCCTGAGGTCAAAGTTTGCATCAATCTGTTTTCCTCCCAACAGATCAAAGGCAAACGTGACCCTCGTATCTTTGGTGTCGGTGACGTAGAGGATCCCTTGAGCAATGAAGGCGTTGCCAGCCTTGGATTTGGGGTATGTGGTATTGATGTGTTGCAACACAGAGAATGTCCTCTCGTCCAGCTGTGCTACCAGGATGCTTGAGCCATCCACACTTGAAGCGTAGATAATCCAGACGCCCTTCTCATCCACAGCTATGTTGAAGTAAGTCTTGGAATTTGCAAAGAGGTATTTTCGATCAAAATACAAAGCATTTTCAAGCTTCAGGGTTTGGGGTGTCTCTTTGCCAAATTCAAATCTGAAATGTGTTTTTAAAAAATGCGTTAGAGTTGGGTAACCATATCTGTGAATACAAGTCTTTTGTTAGGCTCCTATAAAACTGAGGTAGCAGGGCCAATGTTTTCTGTTGCCAAGAAGCTCCAGGCAATTTCTCTTCTACTTGCCCTTCAATGGTGTTCTGGGCAGTAAGGATGTGAAGTGACTAGCCTGGGCTATCAGAAGCAAAGGGAGGACCATCCTCAGATTAGCAATGTAGCTGAGGATGGCCTTGAACACCTAATCCTCCTGCTTCCACCCAAGTGCTAGGATTAGAGGCAGCACCAACAAGCCTAGCTTCTGTAGTGCTGAATATCAAAGTCAGAGCTTCAGATACTCTCTCAATTGAGACACATCTCTAGGCCCTAAATTGGGGCTTTAATACTCCCAAGTTTTCTGGATATTCCATGCCTTTTTTTTTTTTTTAGTTTGAAAAGAGAAAAGTCACTGAGAAAAGATGTAGCGAAGGCTGTGAAGACATTTTTCTTGTCTGCTAGGGGCTGATAAATACCACAACGGCATGGAATTCCATATCCCCCAGCTTCTGGGGCCTGATTTCTCAAACTCCAAACCGAAATAGTATCAAAAAAGTGAATTATGATTGGAGTACACCTAAATCCGAGAGCAAGTCTATATAGGATATTAGGCTAAAAGAAAACACCAGAGGGCGCCATTGAGCAACAGACCGCAGAAGGCAAGGCGTATGTGACTGTGATGGGCATTTAGGAAGCACGGCAAACAGAAACAGACTAGAAAACCTGAATGAGGCTGGAAAGCGTCCTGAAAAGAGCCAACACATGGGAAGGGCTCTGCAGAACCGGCTCCCGAATGCTGGAATCCGGTGCTGCTCTCTAGCCCCATAGGCATGGGCGAGGTGACTGCCCTACAGAAACAGCCGGCTTTGATTCAGTCTTATATCTCCTTGATCAAGCTTGTGGCTTGATACAGATCTAGGCTTAGGACAGGTTCCCTACCCAGTCAGCTCGCCCAAGTCTGGTAGTGGTACAGGACTATAATCTCAAGTACTAGGGATGATCGTTAAATGAAAAACTCCAGTGACCATTTTTTTTTTCCTAGCTTCAGCTAACTCTATCTTGGATTTCACCTCTTTGCTCCCTAGCCCCAGCTGGGTACATCAGGCTATGCAGAACATTCTTGGATACCTTGGAGGCCCTTTGTTTTACAACATAAATCGTTTTATCAACTGAACTGAAACCTTTGAAAATTTTGGCCTTCTGCCCACCTCTGGTATGACAAAAGTGTGGGTTTTCTTCATAAATCCTATCCTGCCTTGCTTAGGGAGGAGAGTTCTTTGTGGCAGGAGTCAGTTCTTGGTCACAAGCCTACATAAAGAACTCTTATTTGGCCTTATACTTGCAGCGATAATGTAAGCTTCTCTAGGGTCTATAACAGTAAATTCAAGGCCTTCCTGGCCCACACAGAGAATTTAAGAGCAGCCTAGGCAACTTGGCAAGACTACTACAGAGTGCTGTGCTCTGAGTTTAACAGCTGTTGTCTGCATGACCTCGAACCCTGCGACTGGGCCTGTCGACTTTGGACACATTCCTTCCTTGTGGTGATATTTTAATAATGATCTAACAAGAAAAGCTGTCTGAAGATCAGAGTGCAAAGTTTGCCACACTAGCTAGCCATAGAAGCCAGGCAGTGGTGGGCATACCTTTAATCCCAGTTCCCGGGAGACAGAGGCAGATGGATCTCTGTGTTCAAGGCCACCCTGGGCTACACAAGATTGAATCTGTCTATCTGTCTAAACGAGAAACAGCTCACGCAAAGGTGATCTCAGCTCTTGGGATCCCACACCTTTAATCCCAGCATTAGAGAGGAATGTAAGGCAGGAGGAGACAGGAGCTCAGTGCAGTCTGAGGTTTGATGGAGACAGTGCAGTCTGGAGATGCAGTCTAAGGACACGATCGCCCCTGTAGTCTGAGCATAGAGGTGAGAACTCTCTAGTGGCTGCTTTCCTTCTCTGGTCTTCAGCTTTAACCCCAATATCTGTCTCTGAGTTTTTATTATTAAGAACAATTAGAATTCATGCTACACTTTCTAGGTCATGGGGATCAGAAGCGTTGCTGAATCCTCACCCGAGTCTGTGGCCATTTGTCTGTAATTCTGCCCTGGTTGCATGTAGCCTTATGATCTGAGGAAATTCACTCACTGTCTTGGGGAGGGGAAGCTGGGGAGAGACTTCCTGGTGGTCTGACTTTTGGGGAGTCACTTGAGCTTTTAAGGTATGCCCAATAAATTCACTGGTTCCCCAAGTTGGACTTTAGTGACACCCCACTTCTGTGTGCTGCTGTTCCGTAAGGAGGTAGGTTATCGTTTACATTTCCCCAAGGAAAAAGAATTCTCACAATAAAAATAAAAAGTAGAAAGTAGAGAGGGGCTCTAGCTCACTGGTAAAGACTGTTTCTAGTACTGTGAGGCCCTAGTTTTGACCCATGCCTCAAAAATAAAAACCCCAGGCCCCGTTTTTAAAGAGCTCATTTCTCATTCTGGGGCCTCTTCACCCTGGAACTCCCCCACTCCAACAACTGTGGCCCAGTAGTCCTGGTAGACGGCAGCAGAGAGCTAGGGTTAAACAGACACCAGGCACCCATGGGTCCGGTAAGAAATCTGATCGGGAGGTAAATTCTTTCCTCTTTTGCCAGTAGCAGAGAGTTTGTCTCAAATGGGTGACCATCATCTCTTCTCCAGTCATCTTAGTCACCCATTTGGCTGGTGCCTGGTGCCTGTTTAACCAACTCACCCATTGCTCTATAAATAACCTAATAACTCATTGGCTCTCCAGACTGAACTAGGGTGGAATCACACTTCTAATCTGCCATCGGAACTCCAGAGGAGGGATAGATGTTGTTATGCCTCTCCCAGGGAAAGAATTTTGACAACTTGTCTCAAGAGAAAGGAGAAATAAGCGAGCCCCTGATGTCAGGGGATGGACCCTCGTGCTAGAAGGACTCCGACTCTGCGTACTTCCTATCTCAAAGGATGTGAGATGCCACACTCCTTGTCTCCTTCTCCCCACTTCTCATCTCCTCATGGGTGGACATCAGCAGCAAATGCACACCCCAGGCTGGGGCCAGGACATGGGGCTCCTTCACTGTATTCTGCCATTCCTTTAGGGGACAAACCCCCGATTGACCTACCTAGGTACATAAAGACCTGACACAACTGAAGAGCTGCAGAACACACACACAGTGGGTGCAGTATGAGACCCTTAAGGAGACACTGCAAGGCGCGGCGGTCCCGGTGGCTCACCTCACGATGGTGTTGGAGCCCCCCTTGTGGTAGTAGAGAGAGTTGTTGTAAACTGCATGCCCACAGCCATGGAAGTAATGAGGGAGGTGGATGAGGGTGAAGCTGCTGTTGAGAAGTGCTGGCAGGTCTTTGAACTCCTTCACCATGATTCCTGCACGAGGGAAGGAAGAGGGGGAAGCTGTTACCGTTACCCAGCAGCAACCACAGCCCAGCCCATGAAAAGCCAGGCCACTGAGAGAGCTTGCGTCGGGTCCCTCCTGTCCCACCCTATGTGTGTGTGAAGTCAAGCAGCACAATCCTATGTCGGGAACACACACATTTGGTACAGCTACTGCTTGCGGCTTCCCACCCCTTGTTACCCGCCAAGACCACTGCCACTCCTGTAGAGCATTTCTCTTTTCCTTTGAGGCCCAAACCCTCAGCTTGGGAGATGAAGGCTATTATTGCACTGATCAGTTTGTGGTGATAAAGCCAAGAAGCAGCTCTTAGCTTTTTGTCAACCAGTGTGTGTCCTGTCAGACCCTTCTGGAATGAGGCCATGTTACTACCACTGGCCACTTCAATCACATCCTTTGGGAACTGTATGACTGGACCTAAGTTCAGACGCAGGGAGGCTGTGAGATGACTCTCTGCCTTCCCTCTTGGGCTCTGTCCAACAAACATGTGAGAAATGTGGCCAAAAGTATTCTCATAGGATGGCATCAAACTCCAAGAACAATAGACAGTGCACACAGAATTTGTCTTTTATATCGAAGGCCATATCACCCCGAACACACCAGATCTCAGAGTCAGGTGGTTAGTACTCGTGTGGCATAATTTGTCTCTCCTATCACTTCCATGTTACTGTTTGGTTGATAAAACCTATAGATGTTGATTTCCTTCTGTCTATTGTGTTAAAACTGGATAGTTTACACTGCAGTGGTCGTGTCCCTAGGACTGAGCTGTGCTTTCTAAAATAAAGAGTCTTATACCAACACTAGTGGGGACCTCAGACGCATGGGTATGGATAAACCCGGAGGTAGGCGTTACAACACCAGACAGACCATCCCTGGGGGGAAGTACCTGAAAAATGTTCTGTCACCCAGATGCGCTCATCACTCTTGTTAGCAGACTCTCTTATCCAGGTCCCGAAAGTCTCCTTAACTTTTAGTACTCGGGCTGGGTTTCCAATGGAAGTGACCATGGATTCTGTTAGAAGAAAAGAAAGTTACCTACCTGACAGTTATGACAATCAATGCATCCAGTTTTGAATTGCCAAAGGATTCTTGTGTGTGGTGCTGAGGATTGAATCTAGAGCCTGTGGAGGCTGGTGAAGTACACTAGCAAGTAGGCACACCCAGCCTAGGGTGCCCAGGGTTTGTACCTGTTCGCAGAGAATGGCGTTCATTTGCCTTCTCATCCCCTTTCCCCACCAAGGTATCATCATTCGGTACGGCACACGTCTCTCCTAAAATGGCAACAGTCAAAGCAGAAGCTGTTGTCACAATGGGGTTATAGTAAAGATTTACGTCCATAGTCTCCACTTCCTAACATTGTCCCTCTTGGCTTAAGACAGGCAAGGCACTCTGGCTAACCACTCAAGTTCTAAATCCACTGTAGAAATGATTATTGTGATCCTTCTTTTCTAAGGAACTTTTGAACTGAACTGGGCCAGGTAGTTCCTTGGGTGTCTGTTTTCCATCTGTAAGCCAGACACAAGGATGCCAGCCCCCCAGGAGAGTCAGGGGAATCAGAAGAATTGCCTGCCACTCACTAAATGGTGGAGGACCTCAGACATAGCTTAGAGGTGGCAGATGTGGGACCCTGGGTTCAGCCCCCCCCCCTCACACCCTACTGACAGTGATGGAAATGCTATGATTACTCTCTGCAGGGAATTAACCAATTGGACTGCTCCACTGTCTTCCAGTTTTTCACTCTCTCAGGAACTTGTTGATCCAGTTAACAGCCTCACCCTCAAGATGCTGCCCTCGGGCAACCTAGTGACACTGTGTTCTTCAGTTATAACAGTAACTAAAAAAGAAACCAAATAAAACACTGCTCCAGAGACAGGGAGAGGTTTGTATGGCCAAGAAGAAAAACTGGTGTAGAGATAAGTGCAGAGAGAGGAGTGAGGGAGGGGTGACAGGTTCAGTGCTGGCCTGGCATAGTCCATATGCCTGGGGTACAAATTCAGACCTCCAGTGAGCATGTTGCAGGGAGGAATCCCATTTCGGACAAATTCTCCCTCTTTCAAAATTCTGTCACAAAGTCTGGAAGAGGTATCATTAACACAAGGAGTGGGTTCCTTGGGGGCAGGGCTTGGTGACCTGGACACTGGTTGCTGAACATGTTTGGCTGCCGTGGGCCTTTGGATCTTCTGGTTCCGGGAGGGCCTGGAGGCCCTGGGGGCCCAGGGGGCCCAGGGGGACCGGGTGGGCCTTGGTCACCTTTGGCACCTAGAGAGAAGGAAGGGGAGAAACTGGTAAAAAGTTTGTCACAGAGACAGATTCCCACTAGGGAAAGAGAAGTGATCAGCTCTGGAGTCCCACTGTGCACATCCCTTCCTAGAGATGGAACTACCATAGTAGGTCCTGATGATCCATTCTATGCAGGATCTGTACCTAGAGTCTTATCAATCTTCCTTCGTTCTTCCAAGGCCCTCAGTGGGGTGGGAATGGGATCCTCTCAGGAGAGTTCTGCTAGGGAGTAGTGGTTAAGGTCACAAGTGACATGAGCAGGATCCCAGCTCCAGGGTCTCTTAGCAGAGCCCGGCCTCAGTTACTGCGGTGCCAGGAGACCCAATTCTGATCTCTTAAAGCCCTGAAGGAACTCCTTTTTTCTTCCTCTCCTCTCCCTTCTCCGCCTCTCCCTCTTCTTCCTCTGCTTCCTCACCTAAGGAATTTAACTCAGGGCCTCTTGCAAACTAGGCAAGCACTTTGTTACTGAGCTACACCTTCGTTTTCTAAGGAACTTGGTTACTATCCAATCCCAGAGCCAAACAGAAAGGCTGTGAGATCCGTCCCCTATCATTTGAAATCCTCCTACAGGACACCAGCTAGGAGACACACTTCTGAGTGTAGTGGCACAGTCATGGGCCTAGTTAGACTCTGCCTCCATTCACGTTGTGACCTTGTCTTACCATGTAGTCAGACTTGAAGCAATCCTGCTGCCTCAGCCTTCCACACTTGGGATTTCAGGCTGGAGCCACCACACCCTGCCAGCTAGGGTAATGAGTTACATTTCTCATGCTAGATACCAGACTTACACTTGCCCACATGGGCAAGCATGCACAGCTCTGAAATTACAGAATGCCGTGCTAAGCATGGTGATACCTGGCTATAGTCCCAACAGGAGGACAGGGCAAGGTCAGTCTCTGCTGCACAGCGGGGTTCCAGGCTAGCCTGGGATACAGAAGACCTTGTCTCAAACAAACCGGGAAAGAAAGCATTCCAGAACATGCCGCAGAGAAGATCAAAGCCAGCAGAGCAGCCCCTGGGTTGGACGAGGCAGGTCGCCATGCCCTGGTGTCAGAAGACCCCACAGCAGGCAGCTTACCTGTGAGAAGCACGTCGTTGGATACATCTCCCTTGTCTCCCTTTTCACCTTTCTGCCCTGGCGGGCCGTCATTTCCAGGAGAGCCCATTTCACCAGCATCTCCCTTCTCTCCCCTTTCCCCTGGATTTCCTGTGGCTCCGGATAACCCTGCACGCGGGGAGGGGCAGGATGACATATTAACTTGTGCACACAATTCTGCTTCACTCTTTGTAGTGATTGTGCTTTTGTAGAGCAGTTTTGTAAAACAGCAAGAAACCCTTCACCACCCTTCCAGCGATGCAGCTCTATACTCATTATGGGATGGTTTCCTGGTGGCTCTGGGGGACAACTTTTAGGAAATCTGGCTAAGCTGCTGTGTTGAAGAATGAAGCGAGAGAGGAGGCAATGACAGTTCGAGTAAGACACCATCCCCATTAAGGTGAACGTGTCATTAAGAGGACCATCGGCATAGCCGCTGTCATCGACGCTCTTTATTTCTTACAACAGAATGAGTGGTGGGCTGGGCAGTCACTTCGGTCTCAGCAAAGTTGAAATGGTGACTGTAAGTGATGCTAAGCCAACACCAGAGGGCGGATGACCAGCTGCCGCCACTTCTTGCTGTACTTCCCTGCCATGATGGACTGTAACCTGCCACTGTCAGCCAGAATAGACCTTTAGTTCCTTAACGCTTCTGTCGGCTATTTTGTTGCAAGGACAAGAAACTATCAGAAAACATGGAGAGTAAGGTCAATGCATAACGGTTAATATCTACTGCCAATCAGCCTGGCTTCTCCAGGCTTGTTTTTTAATTTTGTTTGTTTGTTTTGTTACTGTTTTCTCTGTGACTCCACAGCCACCTTTACTGGGACTAGCCTAGTCCCACTGCTAGGGTAAGACTTTGTCAAGGCCCAGCCCCATCTCCCAGTCAAAAAACTAGAATTCAGCTTGCAGAGAAATTTTCTAAATGATAATTTGTAGACAAAAATAAATGACCATATTCCAAGTTCCCCTAAACGTGTTCTGCCTGACACTATAGACTTCAGAATTTGAGTTATTCAGTAAATGTAATTCAGTACATTGACAAATAAGGAAGAGCATATCTCAATGGGTGCCAAAGGGCATTTGATAGCATTTAGCATACAGTCTCAATGAAATCCTCACCAAACTAGGAATAAAGGAATTTCCTCATTCTGCAAGAGTCTGAGAATTTGACAGTTGACATACTCTTTTCCAGAGAAAGGCTACATATATGTCCCTTAAATCAGGAACAAGACAAAGTTAGTCACACTCACATATATGTCCCTTAATATCAGGAACAAGACAAAGCTAGTCACACTCATCATTTTTGTTTAATATTGTACTGGATGCAGAAAACATGATATTCCAGAGAAAAAGAAATAGAAGGCTCATCAACTGGGGAGTGGACATTAAAATTATCTTGATTTGAAGCTGGCCTGATTGTTTATGTAGAAAATTTTAAGAAATCCATTAAAAATAGTGACTTTAAGTCTCAAGTACACAAATGTCCTCGGGTTCTGCGGGAGGAAAGAGGGTGCACAAAGACCCTGACTCCTTATCTCCAGAAATGATTGTTCATTTTGATGAGCATCCCCTGAAGATGCTGCTTAATTGTGATGTTACTCAAAGTGAGATTGCAGTCATCAGGGAAGAGCCAGGCTCATCTGTTAATACAAGCACATCAATCCTCTCAAGGCCCAAACCAGAGATGATGTGGAATCTCCTGTCTTCTATAGTTACCTGCCCACTTCTTTTTTTTTTTTTTTTTTTTTTTTTTTTTTTTAGGAGACAGGGTTTCTCTGTATTTTTTGGAGGCTGTCGGTCCAGCCCGGCCTCGAACTCACAGAGATCCGCCTGCCTCTGCCTCCCGAGTGCTGAGAGCCCCACCGCCCAGCACCTGCCCGCTTCTTGTCTCATCTGTAGGCCCCATCAAAGTAACCCACCCCTCTCCCTATGTCCCATTCATTTGGTTGATTCCTGATTAGTCGATCTCCGGGGTGGCAAAGTGTTTCCTACAGTTTGTTTTAAGATTTCACTAAATAGCCCAGGCTGGCCTAGAACTCACAGCAATCCTCTTGCCTCCTCTTGGTATTCCTGGCATGCACTATCACACCTGGCTTTATATGAAGCTTCAGACTAACCCCAGGGCTCTGTACCTGCTAGATGAGTGCTCTACTAACTGAGTCATACCTCCAGCCCTCCCTCTAGTTTGAAAACCATGTCTGGAACAGCCTACCTTATGCTAACCATCATAGTTGTCCTAAAGCACCATTCCTTAACCTGTGGGTCATGACCCCTTAGGGGGGGTTGAATGACCTTTCACAGGGATTGCCTAAGACTGTCAGAAAACACTGATGTTTCCATTATGATTCATAACAGCAGAAAAATTAAAGTTATGAGGTAGCAATGAAAATAACTGTATTGTTGGGGGTTTCACCACAGTATGAAGACCTGTAATTAAAGGATCTCAGTGTTAGGAGAGTTGAGAAGCACTGTTCTAATACAAAAACTCCCAGGCTGGAAGGCACTGTGGAATTCATTTATACCAGTTCCTATCCAGCCATCAATCTTATCTGTGCTACCTGCTACTCAGTTGACTCTGTTTGTCTGAAACAGGGTCTATGTAGCCTTGGCTGTCCTGAAGCTTGCTCTGTAGACCAGGTTGGCCTTGAGCTCATGGAGATCTTCCTGCCTCCACCTTCCAAGTGCCAGAATTAAACATGTGCACCACCATGCCTGGCCATAGTTGGCTCATGTCCGGCCTTTCAATGAAGGAGGTTTTCACCTCAGATTACACCATGGGGGCTGGGATTTAGGTCAGTGGGAGAGTACTTGCCTAGCACGGGGCCCTGGATTCAGTCTCCAGAGTTACAGAAACATGAAATCAAAATGTAATGAAGAAAATACCACTGGCTAGATTCCAGCTAGTCATAACAAAAATCTAGAGCTGGGCCTGGTGGCACAGAGAGATTGGAGTTTTAAGATCATCATTGGCTATAGAGAATCTAAGGCAAGCCCGGGATACCTGTGACCCTGTCTCAGAAAACAGCAACAACTATTTAAATGACAAGTGTGAACTCCAGTACCACTGAGAGGACACAGTGGAGGAGGAAGTAAAGAGGGACAGGTGTCCCTCGCCAGCATGCAGGTGCTCTGCCGTGGAGTCTGCACCTACAATCAGAAGCAATGCAGTGACACTGTTGTTGAGAAAGGAGGCATGTTCAGGAGTCAGTCTTCACAGCTGTACTGAGAGGTCATAGCTCTGGGCCATTATTGCTCTGGGACACTAGGACTTCTTGCTGAAAAGTGGCAAAAGCTCTTATCTGGGCCCACTGTGTGAGAAGGCGTCCCTTTGTCAGGATTTTAAATAAGCAGTTTGGAATGTTATCTGAAGGAGTCAGAGGAGGGTGGTTGCTATAGAGTCCCGCCTGCACAATGTGCCAAGTGCTCCTGACACCTTCTAAAGATGCTGGACAGCCCACATACAGCAGCACTCAGGGAAATGGTGTGTGCGGCTTACAGCGCGGCCTTGCAGCCCTTTATTCTAACTCAAGAGTGTGTTATCTCTTCCTCATACACCTTTTATTACCCTTCTCAAGAAGGCCTTATGGGTAATAGGAAAAGGTTCATTTTGTGATACAGCCCTGACACAGGCAGTGTTTAGAGCTATCAGAGCCTTTGTTGAGGGTGTATTCTGCCTCATAGCTGGGGTGTGCATTTTTTTCAGCTTTTGGTAAAAGACAATGGGGAATGTTTGTCTACATGCAGTCTGTCTTTGCTGTGTGTGTGTGTCTGTGTGTACATTTGAAGGCCAGATGTTGATATCAGATATCTTCTTCTATCACTCTTTATCATATTGGTTATAATAATAACAATAATAACCCTGGGTATGATGGCACATGTCTTTCTTTAATCCTAGCACTTAGAAGACAGAAGCTGGTCACTCTCTGTGAGTTTGAAGTCAGCCTGGTCTACATAGTGAGTTCCAGGCCAACTGGGACTATGCAGAGAAACCCTGTCTCAAAAATCAAAAAGAAAACAAAAGATTGAACTCTGGTCGTCAGACTTGTACAGGAACTTAGCCACATCATTGGCCCCGTCATACATAGAGGTAGGGTCTCTTTACTGAACCTGGAGCTTGATGCTTTATCTGGGTTAGCTGGCCAGCTCCAGAGGAATCATCTGATTTCCCCTGCCACCCTCCAGCTAAGATTACAGGAATACACCATCACACCTACTTTTGTTTTTAACACGTGACAACACATCCTCTGCTGGCAATTCACCTTAGTCACCCATTGGTTCCACCCAACCACCATTCACTGTGTGCATCTTCTACCCCGATGCAGGTTAGGTCAGAGCTGCCAGCCCTGCACAGTGACACTGTAACATGGCATCGCTTGTCCCATGACTTCTCACTGGCTTTGAGTTACAATCTGCTAGAGAAGAAAGATCATGTTCTCCCACCTAGCTCTTGAGGGAGAAACGGCTCTCCTGTTTGCTTGTGGGGGGGTTGGCCATTCAAAACAGATAGTTCCACAAAGCCTGTGAAAGCTCCAGGCTGGGGTCAGTGTCACTGTCTTCACATCAGGGAGTGAGGGAGGACAATTTATTTTGGGTAGTGCCACCTGTCACCTGTCACTAAGGCAGGGGAGAGGGGTCAGAGGGTGTCATGCAAAACCCAATCTCAAGCCATGCATCAGAAGGAGAGCATTAGTTTTGGTTTTCTTTTTTTGCAGGGGGGCGTTGAGACAGGGTTTCTCTGTGACTTTGGAGGCTGTCCTGCAACTAGCTCTTGTAGACCAGGCTGGTCTCGAACTCAGAGATCCGCCTGCCTCTGCCTACCTAGTGCTGGGATATTGAAGGCATGTGCCACCATCACCGGCTATTTTCGAAGATTTGATATTTAGAGAAGACTTTATAACATTCACTCTTAGGTGAGAAAGCTACGAGACAGATGGAAAGAAAGCAAACACTTGGTTTTGAGCCCCTGGGATGTCAGACTACCTAGAAGATGCTGGTACATAACCGACAGTATCAAGTGGCTTATTCCTAATTCTAAAGCCAAGACACGGTTTCCAACCTCATGAGAGAAATTCCCACTCAGCTTCCTTTGGGTCAGGACTTCACATAAAAGAAAATAAATTAAGTGCAGAAAGACAATACAACATGCTCTCACTTGTGTATGGAGGTGAGGTTGATCCCAAAGGAGTAGGAATTAGAGTAGTGTTTGCCAAAACCTGGACAGGTTTGGAGGCACTGGAAAGGGAGTTTGATTTGTAGAGAGGTAAATGGGCAGAGGAGCAACTACACTATAGGAGCAAAATGGAGTAACAATAGTTGATGAATTGGAGGAGTTCTTAAAAATAGCCCACACAGATGACTTGGCATATTCCTAATACAAAGAAATTATGTAGTCTTTTTGAGACATAGTCACATGTAATTCAGGCTCTCCTTGAACTCATTGTATGGCCAAGACTGACTGTGAAACCTCAACTCTGCTTTCAGGAAGGTGGTGTGTGTGTGTGTGTGTGTGTGTGTGTGTGTGTGTGTGTGTGTGTGTGTGTGTGTATGTGTGTGTGTGTCCCAATTCTGCTTTCAGGAAGGTGTGTGGTGTGTGTATGTGATAATTAATATAACAATTGTCCTGATCTGACTATTACATCTTGTTTTGATGTATGGAGATATCACAGTATACCCCCATACTGTAATTGCAATTATATATGTTAATTAAAAGTATATTAATAGCATATATGGTTTCCATATAAATATTCTGTTAAATGTTATAACATATATACTATAAATAAAATAAATTATAAACTACATAGTTTTGACGATGGATATGGCAGAGTGAAGGAAGGATTTCTTTTTTAAGCTAAAATTAAGTTTCTCTTCCACTTTTGGAAGAAAAACCTGATAGTAGCCTGTTGGGAATGTAGCTCAGTTGGTAGTGTTTGCCTGGGTTGTACAAAGCCTTGGGTTCAACCTCCAGCAATATTTCAAACATGCTTGGTGGTACATCTCTATAATTCCATTTCCTAGGTCATCCTCAACTACATAGGGAGGTTGAGACCGGCCTGAGCTAGAGACCTTGTCTTAAAGAAAATGAGAAAAAGAAACGACACTGGCTAATGCTAATACAGAATTTGCTATGTGCCCAGCCCTAATACTTCATATATACTGACTCATTTTCCCTAAACCACTGTGAGGTTAAGACAATCAGTATCCCCATTTTATAAGTAGGGAAGCTGGGACAAAGTGACCCTGTAACCTGCTCAAGGGCTCACACCTGGTCAGTGACGAGCCAGGGCCCCCATGGAGCCTCTGGGCTCCAAGTCCAGTTCTGTTCTCCATGTTTCTGAAGTTGGAAGCTTGCGGGGAGGGGATGTTGATTCTCCTGGAAACACAGGTTAAAGTCTTAAGTTCAGCCTCATTGTGTCAGTCTTCTCTGCAGCTGATATGGTTCAAATACGAAGTGTCCCTGAGAGGCTTGTGTGTGGGAGGCTTGCTCCACCCGCCCCACACACAGAGATGATTGGACCATGAGGGCTCTGCTGTCACCAGTGGTTTAACACACTGATGTATTCAACATGGAATGGCATTACTGGGGTGCTGGTGGGTAGGGCTTGGCTGGAGAAAATGGCCACTAAGGTCATATCTTTGAAGGGCGTTTCGTCCCTCACTGCTTCCTGTGTTGCCCTCTACTTCCTGGCTGCCACAAAGTAAGGGGATTTCGATTACCTGGCCCTTCTGCCATGGGACTCGGCATTACACAGGTCCAGAAGCATACAGCCAGCTGCCATGCGTGGAAGACTACACTGCAAGAGGAAGGACCATTTTCTCCTTCACACTGTTTGTGTTAGGTGTTCTGTCATAGTGGCCAGGACCAGATGACCACAAGAGCATGTACTGGCTCCTGCTCACCCCAGTCCTGCTTTGAAGGCTGATAGTTCCTAGGTTCATTCCCATCTAGTTTGGGTGGGCTCAAAACCTGCAAACTCAGGGCTTCTATTCTTTCTCCACAATTCCCTCACTGAAACTTGCCCTTTTCTTAATTCCAAGATGCTATTGACGTCTCTCTTGATTCGTTCTCCCACAGAAGCCATCTTCTACACAGCATCCTGTCTCTGCAAAGCTCCTCCCCTGCCTAACATCCTCCCAGTGTTCTTTCTTGATCCGTTGCTGACCCCTTTCTAGGGGGTCACTAGATGTTGCTGCCTCTCGGGGTTCCACTCCTGACTCCCACCCTGTGCTGCTCCCTCCCTAAGAGATCATCCTTACACTTGCCCACAAGCTCTTGGGACAACTCTCTAGGTATTCTTCGGGTCCTGGGGTTCCCTCTGCCTGGACATCTGCATCTCCAGGTCCCCTGAATACCTCAAGACACCTCAGCTTAGCACATCCCATGCATCCAATGGTGTGCCCATGATGCCTTCCCTAAGGCTGAGTTAGAGCAGGTTGCCTGCCTCAGAACCAGCAGTCCATCAAGGTGGGGCTAGACAGGATAGTCTTTGTACCTCCCTTAACTCTCACGCTCTCTCTCCACAGCCTATCAGTACCGTTAAAGCCACCCTCAGACGTCATTCTATTCCATCAGTTTCTCTTCACCCTCCTCTTTCCCCGACTCAGTTCCTTCCCACTCAGGGGCTTCTCACTGCTCCCCAGATACAGATGGACCCTGCAGTTCTCCTCTCCTAAGCCCTCCTCTAGCTCAGGAATGGTTGAAGAAGGAAGGCCTTAGGATCTCCTTCTGGGTGACTTGGACAATGCCTCCCTTGCCCTCAAACCTGAGTTGGCTGAGAACTGAGCAGCCATCTCTTTCCACAGGGCCTGCTTCTTCAGGTCACCTCAGTCTGCCTCTATCCAGAACAATCTAAGCTTGGCTATATTTCTCCCCATCTCTCCCAGGTACAATGCCAGCTTCATGAAGGTGCTGTGGCTCACAGGACAATCTCCTCCAGTGTGACATAGTTTTGTATGATAAACAATTTGATATAAGGGAATTAAAAGATTTCAAGCTAGGCTTAGAATCAAGGTCCTCCAGTCACTCACACTTAAAGTGAGGGTTTCTGGAGTTCCTATTATCTGCTTGAAGACTAGACAGCATCAGAAACAACATAGGTGCCCTACCCACCTGACTGGGGGCCTTGTGGGTTATCTGTCTCAGAAAAGATTAAGGCCCATATCTGATGTCCTTACAAGATCATGACTGTCCCTGGAGCTCATTCAAACTCCAGATAGGATCATTATTAATGTGAGCAAATTACTGTCTCAGATCCACTCATTCTCCATAGTCGTCACTAACAATCCTTCCCTGTAGGAAAAAGGGGGGTGTACAGGTTTCTGAATGGGGCTGAGCTGTGACTCCCTGCATGTGAGTGATATTAATGCCTTTTCTTCTGTTGGGTGTTCTGGTCAGTATTGTTCCAGTGAATGTTCAGAGGGAGGAGGAGCTTCCTTTGTCTCTCCAAAGGCTAATCAGGTTCATCACTTCTGAGCCAGTGCCTAGACCAGCACCTGCCACACAAGCATGTTTTCACAAGTGAATGAAATGTTCTGTCCTTGTGGTTTCTTGAGGACATACTTAATTACATGTCCTCAAGTCCAGGGCTCTGGCCCAAATCTTTCAGAAAGGGCTTCCTTTCTATCTGCCCCATATCCAGTTCCAACATGGTGCTCCCCACCCCAAGCCTGCCCCTGGAATATTAATGTTCTAGCCTTGATCATAAGTTTGATGTCTTCCCAGGATACACTAAATGGTTGCATATTCTTGTAGTCATCGTTATTCTATGCCAATAAGCACTGGCTGTTATAATTATTATCCTGCTAGCTATAATTCCAGCTGTAATTGCTGGCCTGGTGAGGTCCAAGTTGACTTGGATGATGTGAGCCCATTGTCATCTGCATGGCTGCCCCTGAACACACAAGCAGAGGTGCTCAACAGTTCTCTCCCTCTCCTCTGGTTTTCTCTGAGATAGCTGATAGGGATAGCAGAAATGCTAGGAGACGGGGGACTGTCAGAGGCCCTGGGAGGGCAAACTGATTTGAAAGACGCTGCTGCTACTTCTCCTAGTCCGGGATCTGTCCATGGTTTGGAGCTAAGAGGCTGCACATAGAGAACCTGGTACAGTCTCTGGCTGAGATCCACCCCTCTCTGCCATTTTACTAGTGGCCGTCTGGTGTCTGTGAGTCCCCACCATGCCACACGCCCATTTTCTTCAGAGGATTCATTCTTGTCCATCTCCACAGTTCCCACAATGGGGCTGACAGGTCTTCAGAGGCTATCTCACGCTGTCCAGGGCTCCTGTGAGGCCCCACACCAGCCCCTGCTTCTCCCTGAGCACAACAGACACCTTGGCGTCTCTGGGCCTCTACAACAGCCCAGAGGAACTGCCTCAGACAATGAAACCCCTTAGCAAGCTTCCTTAAGAGAGGACCCTGAGTCATGTGCCAACCTTGGGAAACCTGAGCGCTCTCTCTCTACTCAAGCAGTGGGAACTGCTCTTCTAGTCAGGGAAACCCTCTCTGCACAGGCCAACATCAGTCCCTTGAAGTCAACCAAACACAGCAAGCAGCTGGAAAGGCAGTGGCAACAGGAAGCAAAGCGGAGGCTGAGGCTTGAATTAATGTGGGTGTGAGCAGGGGGTAGGGTGGGGGTGGTGTAAGTGGGGGGGGGTGAGCACAGGGCTGGCTGCTCCCAGACATCTCCAGCTGCAGGAAGAGAAGTCAGTTCCTAGAGAGCTGTCCTCTCTGCTCTGACGTAAACATTTGGTCCAAAAAGAAGATTCTTGGCATCTCCACACAGCATCTTCTAGGTGGGAGTTACATCAGTGCCCCACACAGAGCACAAATGCCCTGCCTGCTCTGCAAACAGTGCTTCCCAGGGCTGCTCATCTGAACACAGTCAGGGAGATAAGACACAAAGGAATTAATTGGCAGAAATGCCCAATTACCCATTTTCCCTCTCTTCCCATTCGCTCCTTTTTCACCCTTTGGTCCCTGGAGGCCAGGCTGTCCATCTGATCCATTGTGTCCTGGTAACCCGTCAACTCCTGGGGGTCCTGTGCCAAAGCATAGAACAGGAACATTTAAAGACGTCGTCACTGCAGGTCATGTGATTTCCTTTAGCCAGTGAGTCAGCCAGCATCAGGGGTGTCTCCCACATTTTCCTGCCCTCCCCCACTGGCCTGCCCTCCTTCTAGAACAAGGACAGGTGGAGGGTTTGGTGAGGGAGGTCTCAAGTTAGGGCCACAGAAAAGGATGTGGCCACGGGCACTTCTCCCCTCTACCACCTCTGGTCCTTGGGTCCTGGGGTTCCAGCCAACCATAGCTGCCCCTTGAACAACGAAAATACAAAATAGGTACTTACCTGGTGGGCCAGGTGGTCCTACAACAGAAGAGGGAATTTAGATGATAAGTCACATGAGATAGAAAGAAACCAGAACTACAAACTCCTGCCCTCCTTAAAATGTCTTAAGTGCCTGCTAAGAAAACTATCCCACATCATTTATTTACAGCTTATTACCTTTCTCCCAAAGGGCCTTACAAACAACTCAGCAAAGACTCATTTGCTAAGTCATTTTGTTTCCATTTCAATAGACCCAGTATAATTTCTGAGCTGGTTTCATTATAGATTCATACATCAATTATCTTAGAGGAGGTTTGACTAATTATTTTGGCACCAATGGAAACACGATGACCCTGTGCAGCCCTGGCACAGGGCAGGCATCAGCACGTGGAGGCTCTGTCACTTCAGAGCAGAACACTGGCTGTCACTAAGACACTTCCAAGAGCTCCCCCAGTCAACTTGTCTCCTCCAGGCCACTGAGGAGTAACCCAAGCACATGCTAGCTTTATGGACCTGTATTTTGTTGCATGTAATTGCCTGAGAAAATCTGAGAGCTTGGGTCAGGTGACAAATGCCTTCTTTAGTGTGAAATGATCCAAGGATCTAAGTGGTTTGGATGAATCATTTACACACTGAGCAAATGATCTTGCTTCCAGAAATAGGCATGTCTTATTGTCAGCTTGACTGAGCACTTGGGTGAGCCAGGGAGGATGGAACATGAGAGGACTCAGTTCCTTGCATTTCTCTCGATCATGCATAATGATTCCCAGTCTGAGCTTTTGGCCATCCATGAGGCAAGCATTTCTAAACATATATCATGCACACCAAACTCCACCAAGAAATACCAATTCCGGTATCTGCTGTGTCCATAGTCTATATGAGAACAGTAGATCCTCTGAAACCACAGGGCAATATGAGGGCTCAGTAAAGAAATAGCCCCCAGGTTACTGGGAAAGTTTCTGGGCACACGGAAGTCTGGGGAGAGCTCCCAAGAAGGTCTTCTTTGGGCTATGGTCCTGAAGGAACAATGGGACCGAGAAGTCAGCATACATGGGCCAGAGACTTCATGCAGGGGACAGACAGAAGCCAAGGTCCAGAAGTGGTAGTTATTAAGGTTCAGGATGGAAGAAAGAATAAAAGAACTGGCCACGCTTGCATGGGTAGAGATGTGGTTGAACAAGGCAGTGGGTGGGTTGGGCACGAAGCGCTTGAAAGTCAAAAGAAGATGAGAGACTATGGGAGGTGGGTTCTTAAGCAGAGGGTGTTGCTAGGATATCAGTGTGCAGCTGGAGGATGAATACAGCTAAGTTACCTGAGTTAGAGACAGAGAGCACAGAGAATCAGAGAGGGGCACGGAGTGGGTAACAAAATACGGAGAGACCTTTAAGGTGAAAGTTGGGCAAAGTTGTGGATAAATGTGACTGTTGAGTCGTAGAAAAAGCTAGAAATTCAAAAACTATTTCGTGGAATAAGGAGGACTCCATGTCCAATTAGAAGGAGGTGGGAGGATTTTAGATAAATGGATCCCAGAACATTGATGAATAGAGTCTAGGGACATGGAATTCTTGGAAGAATACGTGTCTGGGAGTAGCAAAGGCAGTGATTTTCAGGGAAACAATACTTTTCACGATAGTTTCAATTTTTTTGAGGGAATAACTCTAGCCAAGCAAGTGAAAGACTTGCAGATAACAGAAGATGGAAATATCTCCCATGTTCATGGACCTGTTAATATAGGATTAATATAGTGAAAATGGACATCCTACCAAAGGCAATCTACAGACTCTACTCAATCCCCTTCAAAATTCTAACACAATTCTTCACAGAAATTGACAGGACAATTTTCAGCTTCATATGGAAACACACACACACACACACACACACACACACACACACCAAACACACCCTCAAACTGGATAGCTAAAGCAATCCTGAATTGTAAAAGAACTGCTGGAGAGATCAGCATCCCAGATTTCAAGTTGTATAGTAATAAAAACAGCATGGTATTAGCATAAAAACAGACACATCAATCGGAGGAATTGAGCTGGAGGTCAGACATAAATCCACACACATATGGACACCTGATGTGTGACACGGAAGCCAGAAATTCACGCAGGAAAAAAAGACAACAAATGGTTCTGGTAAGACTGGATGACTGCATGTAGAAGAAAGCAAGTAGACTCATATTTATCACCTTGACAAAACACATCTCCAAACGGGTCAAGGACCCTCAACATAAAGCTAAATATGCTGAATCTGATAAAAGAGAACGTGGGGAACAGTTTTAAACTCACCGGCACAGGAAAAGACTTTCTGAACAGGACACCCGCCAATAGCACAGGCACTAAGATCAACAATTAGTAAATGAGACCGTATGAAACCGAAAAAGCTTCTATATTGGCAAAGTTTGGCCAAAGGAGCAGGCTACAGTGAGAACCTAGAAGATGGAACACAAAAGGCTGAGAAACACTTAAAGAAATGTTCAGTATCCTTAGTCACCAGGCAAATACCAATCAGAACTTCTTTGAGATTTCATCTTACACCTGTCAGAATGGCCAAGATCAATAAAACAAATGACAGTTCATGCTGTGGAGGATTCAGGGAAAGGAAAACACATATTCATTGCTGGTGGGAGTGCAAACTTGTACAGCCACTGTGGAAATCAGTGTGGAGACTCCTCAGGCAGACTGGAATATATCTATCTCAAGATCCAGCTATACCACTGTTTCATATATACCCAAAGGACCCTACATCCTACTATAGAGACACTTGCTCAACTAGGAGAAAACCAAATAATGTTCTGCTAATGGAGCAGAGCAACAAAACGACTCCTAACAACTTTTGGCTATACCCATAGAGCAGTGTCTTGCTTGGCCACCAGCAGAGAAACCTCCTCCTGCAGCAGATGGGAACAGATACAGAGACCCACAGTCAGACAGTACACAGAGAATGAGAGACCTTGGAACACTCATGTCTCAGGGAAATATGCGGAAGAGGAGGCATAAAGAAGAGCCGGGGGGGGGGGCTGTGGGTCCCAGACACAGCAGGACTAGAGCACATAGGGACTCACGGAGACTGCGACAGCTCGCACAGGGCTCGCACGGGTACCAGAGCGGAGGGTGTGAAGTGGACACAGGCTCCTATCCCTAAACAAGAAGCTATCTCCAACTGACAACAGATTGGAAAAAAAATAGTTTTCTCCAGCGGAGTCTCATTGGGTACACAAACCACACACAATGAACGGCAGGCCCCATAACCAAGAGTAGAAGGCTGTCAAAATGAAACCAGGGGCATTTGTTTTGGAGATTTGTAGTTGTTGTTGCTTATGTCTCACATAGCTTTGTTTGAGCATTGGCTTCTTACTTTTGTATTATGGTTTCTAGTTTTGAGGGCTTTTTTTAAAGTGTGTTTTGGTGTGTGTGTGTGTTTCTTGTGCTTTTTATTCCCTTTTTTAAAAATTCTGTTTTCTTTTCCTGTTTGTTTTTTAAACAGAGAAAGAGGAAGAAGACATGGAGTTGGAGTCCGATGGATAGGGAAGTAGGGAGGATCTGGGACAAGATGAGAGAGGGGGAAACCATGATTAGAATATATTGTAGAAAAATGATTTATTTTTATAGTTCACACCTTTAATCTCAGCACTCGGGAGGCAGAGGCAGGTGTATCTCTGTGAGATCGAGGCCATCCTGGTCTACAAAGTGAGTTCCAAGACGGCTAGGGATACAGAGACTCTGCTTAAGACAAACAAACAAACAAACAAACAAAACAGTGATTGGTTAAAAAGGGGTTGCGCCTCTCAGTATTGTCACGTTACCAGCAGATGGCGCACACACACACACACACACACACACACACACACACACACACACACACACACACACAGAGGCTGGAAAGGGCACTGAGCATGGGACAGAAGCAATCATCTTCTCTATGGGATGCAGCCAAGCAGAGACAAGGGATGATGGGAGTCAAATGGGCACCAGCGGCTTCCAGGAGAACCCGGTAACCGTGTCAGGGGTGAACTTTAGTGCGGAGCCCTGGTGTTGTGTGTTTAGGATTGTTAGCTCTTCATAGTTTTCTAATGGGGGCTTTTCTAATACCTTTCCCCAAGCCCCACTGACACCCTGACTACAGACCTGTCTGAATCCAGAGACTCGCCCACCATGCTTCTTAAAATCAAATATCTGGGTGCCCCTTGGAGAGTCTAATTCATTCTGGGTTAAGAGTGAGCCCCAGAACCTGTGTTTTCACCAAGCACCCCTGGTGAAAGGCATGCAGATGGTCACAAATCCCCTAATATGAGGTGATAGTTTTCTAGAAAAAGAGTTAGTCACTGTCAGCACTCCTTAAAAGGGTCCCTGTGAATGTGGGGTCCCTGTGAATGTGGGGTCCCTGTGAATGTGGGGTCCCTGGAGAGTGGCGCTTCTGTTGGGAAGTACAGTGCATCTAGCTTGGTCTCTAAGAACTCAGAGCCATCCCATGTCGGCACTCTCTTCTTGAGTCTCAGGTGCCTGTGCTGAGATAGCAGAGAGTCAAGGTAGCAACAGCATGGTGCTTCCGGTTATCAGAGGAGGCAGTACCAGGAGGGGCATCCAAGCATCACTTTGTGAAAACTTCTGGTGTGTTGTTAGGTCATTAAGGTTTTACTGTCTGTTAGTCAAAGCATGGTCTAACCTGTACTGGCAAATAGATACCTCTGGCTATAAAATGATTTGGCAAATGCCATGTTGGTGTTATTTCTCGTTGTGGGTTTCTACTAGCAGACACGGAAGAATCTTAATAGAGGCAAGAAATGCAGCCTTTACAGTTATGGGGAAGTAATAACTAGGAAGTATAGCTTCAAGAGAGGACATTGGCCAGGCTAATACCGCAGGCTTCTGGATGACCTGGCTCCATCCACAAGGGCTGTTTCAAATCAAGGGGAAGACAACTGTCTTTGAGTGTCTGTGACTCCCTTCCAGAGATCCCCCTGCTCACCTGACTGGAGGTACCTGAAAGCATAGCATGACTGCAGGCGAAGTCCCCACCCTTTCCCTGAAGCCTGATTTTTAAAGAAATAAGGCTTCCATCACACCAGAAACACCTCAGATGGGAAGGTCCAGGTCTGCTGTTTTAGGGGGAGCTAAGGGGAGGCATGGCTCCACAGACCTGAGGAAACCCAGGGCTATGCAGCCCTGACCTCTCTTCCCCAGCAAGGGCTCTGTGGAGGGTACACCTTCACCAGTGTAGCTGCTCGCCAACTTCCACTGTACAATCAGGCCCTTCTCTGGGGCCCAAGGCCGGCTCTGTCTAGATCTCTCTCCTGCCCACAATCCACGCTAGTCTGTGAGCCGAGGCTCTCTAAGCACTACCAAAGTTGCCCAGTTCAGTCCTGGGTCCCTCTGTCCACCCTTCTGTCCCCACCCCCAATAGAGACGGCATGGTCTGTCCCAAAGCACCCACTTGCTTTAGCAACTCACACTTTTTCATACTTAAGTTTTTAATTGAAGAGTTTCTGTGTAAAAGGAGATCCAATTTCAAACCGACACGAAAGAGGAAAGTGTTGGCTTTTGAAAGCGTATTCAGAGGTGAGGAAGAATTACCTACTCAAGCCATTCCCACTGTGCCGGCTCCCTGTCACTCTCCTCTAAGTGGTCTCGATAGCTCAATCCTGCACATTCGCTGTGAGCCCGGCTCTCGGGTCTCTGTAAGAATTGGAAAGAGGCTTTTTCTGTGCCTCTCAGCCAGGCTTTTGTGCCTGTCACTCCATCCGTCTGAGCATTTCTGTAGCACTCATTACCCTCACGTGTGGGCGCTCTGAAGAGGGGCTTCCACAGATGGAAGAAAGGCACTTACACCACTAGAGTTTCTGGACAAAGGACTGGGCTTTCTGAAGACATTCCATTTTCTGTGAGGGCTGGATGCCACTTACACAATTCAATTAGCATTTCCCAAGAAGCCACGGGATGATAGCTTGTCTCTCTGAGGCCAAAACAAGGGAGCAAGAGTAAGCCTTGGAATCGAGGCCCCACCTTTATTTCCTCACTCATAGAAGCCACAAGTTCATCTTTTTGACAAACTAACTCCCAAGTGAGGAGAGAAACTGAGGCAGACACTGTAGAAATTGGCCGGGTTCCTGACATCCAGGTATTGACTGTGCAGGACCTCTGTACCCCGTGAGGTGCTAAAGTAGGGACAGCAACCTCAGAGTCCTAGCAATAAACGTCAGCTTATGCCCACAGAATCATTTAGGGTCCACAGACGTGTTTGTTCCCTCCATTTGTACTATTTTAATGGAATCATAATTTCCTTTCTCCTCAGGACGCCACCCTTCTCTGGAGAGGCAGGGAATAGAACATCTGGAGTCAGGCTCTATAGGACAGGTCAGATTGTCACTTGGATTAGGGGCAGTGAGGGTGACTGCTCTGAACCCAGTTCTCCTTTGCCCTCACTGTCACATGACCCGCCATTAAGGTCAGAGACAGGCTTCTGTCGTGCTCACATAGAAAACCACATCACTACCTTGCATGTTCCTGTCAGTAACGCCAGTACCCAGGACACTGAAGATTGTCACACGTTTGAGACTAGACTGGTCTACATAGCAAGATCCTATCTTAAAAACAAGCAAACTCATCCCACTGCCAGAGAGTCTGGGAAACAGAACCTTCATCCAGTGACTGATGGAAGCAGAGGCAGACACCCACAGCTAAACACTGAACTGAACTCAGTGACAGAGAGGGAGGACTGATGAGCAAAGGGGTAAAGAATGGGCTGGTTTAACCCACAGAAATAGTTGACCTGAACAAGGGGGAGCGCTTGGACCCCAGACTGATGGGACTGATCCAGACCCCCTGAATGTGGGTGTCAGTGAGGAGGCCTAGACAATCTATGGGGTCTTGGGTAGTATTTGTTCCTGGCGTACAAATGGACTTTGGGTGCCTATCCCACAATGAGGGATGCTCTCTCAGCCTGGACTCTTGAGGGAGGGCCTAGCCTCTGCCCTGGATGAAATGACAGACTCTGGAGATCCTCCATGGAGGGCTTCACCCTCCCTGGGGATTGGAATGAGGATTGGATGGGGGAATGGAGGCCTGGTGAGGGGGAGGGAGAGGGAGAGGGAGAGGGAGAGGGAGCTGGGATTGACATGCGAAGCAAGCTTGTTTTTAATTTAAATAAAAAAATGAAAAAAGAAAACCAAACTCAACCCTCCCCCCCCAAAAAAAACCCCAAAACAAAACACACATACATCCTCCTATCAGTCATTCCTTAGCTCAAGATTTGGTACACCCCCTGGCCAGTCCTTTTCCATGTATCCTGAGCCATTGAGAAGTGGGAATAAGGTGTACAGCCAGCCTCCAAACCCACCTAGCACATGGAATGTGGCACAAGAAATGCTTCATAAAAGTGGCTCAGCAGACAGTGTGACTGCTGTGTAAGCCTAACACCCTGAGTTCGATCCTAAGAACCCACATAAAGGTGGACGAGGTGGAATGACAGAACCAACTCTGTGTCCAGTTGTCCCCTGACCACCACCACACACAGCACGGCACACACGTGCCCTTCCTCCACATCATGCACAGACACAAAGATAATGAGTAAAAGCAGAGCGGCAGTACTCCATGACCGCCCAGCAAATTCGCCCAGAGCTGTCCCTGCTGCACACCTGGTAGAGGGGAGCGGTCGCATCTGGTGCCGCATGGTGCTTCTCACGGACGAGAACTCTCTCTTGTCGGACATTCTTCCCCCCTCTTTGTTTTCCCCTTTAAAACTAGTGGGCATGAAGAAAACATCCTTGGCCCTGGTTTAGGGTCACACACATTTCTAATTACTCAAGCTCTAGTTATTTTCCATGGCCACATTTCTGTGACAATACCAGAAAGTAATACTGTCATAATCATATTACAATTGGTTTTATTGCCATTAAAAACATCTGTTAGAATAAAGAAGATGCTTTTTTAAAAAAAAAAAAAACAAAGTACCCCCAGGTGTGCTGTCTGCCCCTGGCTCTTTGGCTAGCCCCAGTATTGCTACATGCACACAGTTCTCTGGCGAGTGCCGCAGACCTACCTGTAAGGCAGATACCCTTGGTACTATTGCACAGGTCCACCATCACTCGGATCTGAGGAGAGAGAAGGTGATTAATAGCAAACAGCAGGCAGTGCGCTTGGAAGATGTCTTCTGTTCAGACAAGCAGAAAGCAACTAGAAAAATCCCCCCAAGTAACTTCAGGCCAATATGCACATGTCTGAGGAGAACAATTAACTGAAGAATGCTGAGAGCCTGAGAAATGGTCTTCCCCAGGCAAGAGCCCACCAACCGCTGGTTGTCCAAGGCCAAATGGTCAGCCCTGAAAACATATATCCAAGTAACATTATACAGACTGAGCAGTGTGTGTTTATGTGTTTGAGAATATATATGCAGGGGCTGGAGAGATGGCTCAGGGGGTTAGAAGCACTGTCTGCTCTTCCAGAGGGCCTGGGTTCAATTCTCAACACTTAATGTGGCAGTTCACAACTGTCTATAACTCCCGTTTCAGGGGATCTGACACCCACACACAGACATACAGGCCAAACACCAAAGTACAAAAAGTACAAATAAATAAATTATTAAAAAAGAATATATATATATATGTATATACATATAGGTGAGTAATGACAATTGATGGAAAGAGAGGCATGGATTTGAAAGAGAGCAAGGAGGGGTATATGGGAGACTTGGAATGAGGAAATGGAAGGGAGAAATTATGTAATTATATTATGATGTCAAAAACAAACAACCAAACCAAAATACCTGGAGAGCAGGCATGGTGGTACAGGTCATCAATCCTAGCTATTCCAGAGTCTGAGGCAAGAGGATGACAAATTCATGACTTTGTTTGGGCTACAGAGTGAGTTCAAGGCCAGTTTGGTCAATGTATGGAGACCTCATATCTAAAGTTACAGAGCTGGGGATATAGCTGAGCGGTAGAGTACTTTCCTAGCACACTTGAAACTCTACAGTCAGTCCTTAGTAAATCATCAAGCTGCAAAGAAACCTTTAAAAGACCGGTGTCTATTTGATATGAGTACTCATCTAGAGAATGTCATTTTCTTTATTTATTTTTGATGATTGCCCTTTAATGTAAATTCCTTTTTTAGTGAAAGATAATGTTTGGGTTTGGAGAGAAGGCTCGGTAGTTAGGAGTATTTGCTGCTCTTGCAAGGACTGGGGTTCTGTTCCCCACACCCATGTCCAGAGCTTACAACCACCTGCAGTTCAGCTCCAGCGCATCCAAAATCTTCTTTTGACTCTGCACTCAGGTGTACATATGCATACAGACAAATGTAGAGATGAATAATTAAAAATTAAAAAATAACTAAAAAAAGAAAGAAAACGATCATGTTAGCCAGGTGGTGGCACATGTCTTAATACCACCACTCAGGAGTCAGAGGTAGGCAGATCTCTATGAGTCTGAGGCCAGCCTGGTTTACAGAGTGAGTTCTAGGACAGTCAAGGCTACACAAAGAAACCCTGCCTCCAAAAAGAAAACAAAATAAAACAAAAAGGATAGCTTTCTGACTTGAAGAAAAGGTGACTAGGTTTCCTGTGTTGGACGGATCTGTTCATTTTAGGAGCCAGCAGGAAACTCATCCTGAGTGTTTTGTGCCAGCAATAGTTATTGACTGCAGTAGAAAGAGATTTTCGAGCTACCGAATGCATGTCTCACGTCTACACAAATGTAGAAAAACTGAACTATGCAAGAAATACAAGTAGTGGGTCTTCTCAACTGAAATTCTGCACCCATAGATTCAACCAACTACAGGCTGAAAAGAACCACATTTGTACTGTGTATGTGCCAACTTCCTTTGTCATTCTCTGAATATCTCACTACATTCTGCACAGAACTTATACTGTGCTGGATGCTAAGAGCAATCTAGAGGTGATTTAAAGTAGACAAGATGTGCATAGTTACTTTAAAACACTACACAATTTTATAGAAGGGATTTGAGCACCCTAGGAATTTGATATCTAAGAAGGATCCTAGGATGAATCCCCTGTGGATTCGTGTGTGTGTGTGTGTGTGTGTGTGTGTGTGTGTATGTGTGCGCGCGCGTGTGATGTTCCACCCTAGGTTAAGACCTGGAAACTAACCAATACCTTGTAAATGTATGAGGTACTTCCTCCACTCAACAACTCTCTGAACAGAAGCATATTGGGCCATGCTTGTTTCTAATTGTGCCACTGTCTACTCAAGGGCACGTACATAGCCTGCTGGCGGGTGGGGATGCAGCTCAACTCCAGGCCCACTGTACTCTATTATGGCTTTGATAATTACCTTAACATGACCAGACCCCCCCCAAAAAAAGAAAGAAAGAAAGAAACAGATTCACTGCATTTTAGTTATTTTCCTAAGTGAATGTAATCAGCTACACCATGACAAAATTTATTGTCTTTAAAAAAATATATAATTGCCCATTGAGAGGACCAGAAAAGACTTCACAATGATTCATTTGTTGCCTGGGGGATCAAAGCAGCAGTAGTGGTTTGAAACAGCAGAACATCAATAGGGAAAATGAGCTTTTCTTCCTGATACTCATTACTGGCCTGGGACAGGCACAGCTAGAGACTACGGGAGGGAGTTTTCATTTCCTGACCTGTTAGCTTCATTTATGTGCTGAGTGTTAATTTACATGGTTTATAGGAAATTATTCCAACCTTCTCAGAAATAGTCTCTTAATAAACTTAGGCACCATAAGACTGTATTGAAGTGAAACATTCTTCTTGAAAATGTGTGGTCATAAAGTCCCACCCCATCCCAATGATTAAGAATTTGAATGAAGATTTAAAAATTAAGAATCAAAAGTCATAAAATCAAGGCTCTCATATTAAAGAGTCGCACTGCAATGGAGGGCTCCTTGGCTTTTGATCTGGGACTTGAGGGTGTCGAAACGGAAGAGGTCTTTGAAGCCACTACCCTGGGGATGTTAGGCAGGCTCTGTCTACAGCACATCCCTGTCCCCTTACCCATCACTGTCTCACTCCTCATTGCTCTGTGCCAATCATGCTGACTTATCACAACTTTTAGTTGGCCCTGTTAAAGGCTCTGTCAGCCTTTTTCTAACTCCTAGGTGAAGGGATCCACCTGGCTTTTATTTTATCTTGCAGCACTTACTATTATCCAGTGCTGTGCTGATTATAGATTAAGTTAGTCATCACATGCTCCTCGAAGGAACGTGTACAAAGATTTCTGGATTGGAATGCTCGTTGTAACATGGTTTTGTAGTAAAATGAGGCAAACAACTGTACTATAACAGGTCATCAATATGAGACCTGTTATATTAAAAAATGATGTGTTGGATGCAAATATACTTTCTGGAAAAGTGGCTTTGGCAGACTGTCAAGCAAGAAAAGCAAAGATACTCAAGGCCAACCACCTGCAGCCACCTAGCTGAAACTTAAAGTCTTCCTCCCCAAACCTAACCTTAAACATAAATACAAAGTACTCTGACCTTGGCAGCAAGAGTCGATAAAATTAAACAAAGCAGCTGAAAGCAGGTGTAGATAAGCCAGCTTAAAGAGCTTCTTGCTTTCAGAGAGCATATGTGTCTGTGTGTGGTGGTACACACCTGTAATCCCAGCAAGCAGGACGTGGAGGTGTGCGAATCGAAAGGTGAGTTCATGGACAGCTTAGGGAGGGAAATACTTAGACACACAGACACAGGCACACACACACACACACACACACACACACACACGAACGCACGCACACGCACAAGACAGAGACAGAGACAGACAGACAGACAGACAGACAGACAGACAGACAGACAGACAGACTGACTGGTGGACACGAAAAAAGTCAGGATATTTTTTTAAAACTGTGGTAGAGCTGCTGTAAAATTGAAACTTTGTGCAAATTTCTTGGTATAAAGTCTGTTAGCCTGTGAACTGTGTTTTGTATTCATAATAAGCTCTTGAAACTCTAGTTTGATTTGATGGAGGTGGCCTGAGGTTCAACAGTGCAACTCTGGGGTTTAGGTCCCAGCTGGCGCTCCGTCCTGTCCTGTAAGAAAACCAATGGGGCCTAGGCATTAGGCATTTGTCAGCTCAAGAGAGCCTATCCTACTCATCTTCTGCAAGCCTGGGTCAGTGGCTCTTGTCATTCGTTCTGCTTGGGATCCTTGAGAGCCCCCACAAATCCTCCTCCTCCTGAACTAGGGGCATCTCTCTAGATAGCTGTTAGTCCCTCATCATCTTTACTAAGTTCCTCAGCTAGGCTCCCCAGGAAGCCACATCCTAGAGGATGGTCTTTTACCAAAACTGAGTACTTTATTTCCCTTATGAATGGCAGGGTCTGGGTCTAGTACACAGGCTGGCTTTGAATTCATAACCTTCCTGTGCTACGATGCCTGCTTGAGTACTCGGAAGCAGAGACTTTGGAAGCTGTTAGAAGCCGCCTCTGTTTCTCTAAGCAGAAGTGCCACAAAAAGGGGACTAATATAGAAAGAATATAAAGTAGTTATTTTAATTGCATTCCATATGTTCAATACCTCAGTAGTAGAACGTTTGCCTGGTGCATGCAGGAACTGGTTCAAGCCCACGTTTTACGACAGCACAATCTCTCCCCACACCTAAAAAACCCCAGAGGGTCACTGAGTGGGAGAGATCAAGAAGATCAATAATTAGGGGCTTTCACCAGCATGGAAGGAAGAAAAACAGAATTCATGTAGAAATGACAAAAAAATCCAAAAATAACTGTAAACTATAAATAGAACATCCAGCATGATTAATAAATATGAAAGGCAAAAACCATGAAAAAAGAGAACACCAAGGTGAGTCATAGTAAAATTCCTTCAAACATGAGATGGACTCTTAATGCGAGGTAGAGAGACAGGACACATCGCATACGGAGGAGCAAGCTGAAGGTAACATTATACTTCTCATCGGAATGTGCAAGTGAGGGTGGGGGGGTCACATGACTGGAGGACTCAGACAGAAACCCTTCTCCTGTGTTCTGTTTGGTTTTGGTTTTGTCGTTGCTGCTGTATCGGGGATTGAAGCCACGTGCTTCACAAGCACTCTGCCACCAAGCTATGTGCCCCTTGTGTCTGTGCCCGTGTGCACACACACATACCCCACACA